TGTAATTTTAACAAATCAGTCAATTTTAACCTTCAATATGATAGTAATGTAGTACCAAATTACTCTCATGTATATTTTACAGCATTAGTTGAGAGATTTTTTTTTCCTTGAGAATATTTGGCAAGTACTGTACCTGATATATATCCAAAATCATCGATATTGAATCGAATCGGTAATCGAATCGAAAGCTTGTGAATGAGAATCGAATCGTGAAATTTGTGTCAAAACCCAGCCTTACAAAATAACACTGCCTAAAACTGAAAGTAAAACTATTTAAATATTTTTATTAACATTTAATATTTTGTTAATTGAAATAAAGCTTAAATAAAATTTAATTTAAATATTTAAAACTAAAAACTCATGAAAATTCTGCATTAATGGCAAGTAAAATAAGTTGAAGTACTAAAAGTTCAAAAACTGAAATAAATATAAATTAATGCTAAATATAAATATTTTTAAACTAAAACTGATAAAAATAACGAAAGCACACAACAAAATCACTAAAAATGGAAACTAAAATTAAAACTGTAAATATCAAAACAAAAGCTAATTCAAAACATGAATAAATACTACAATAGTATATAAATAATACTAAATTATAGGCAGTGGCCTTTTTGTGACTAATAAAGAGACCATTAAGAGGCCATTAAGCAAGCAACCAAACAAGAACACCCTAGCAACTCCATAGCAACGTCCAAACAACAACACTGGTCACCTTAGCAATGCCCTAGCAACCACCCAGAACGTCATAGCTTCACAACGATTTTTGCAAAGGCAAAACCTACATTTTCTTTAAAAACACATTTGTTTTGCTGGATGCAGTCCAGCGTAATCTCTTATCACATTTCTACTTAATACATGCACACAAAGAGCTCAACTTCATAGAGTCCTCAGATGTGTCAATTACATTTTTAAAGCCAAAAACAGCAGATGAATACCCAGTGCCAGCTTCATTCGTCCACGGCGCTGCACGTAGTCGCAGGAACGCTGACAGAAGTTCGATGTCAGCGTTTCTCACCACAAGGTGAAAAGAAACGCTTCTCAGAATAGGGACGTCAACACATCCAGAGGGATGTTAACACATTCTGCGGAGTAGGGCGCCTTGTAAGGGCACTGTAATGTGAGATAAACACCAGTCTTGTTGGCCATTTCTCTATTATCGAAGCGTCTCTTATGAACATCTTAAAATTAGCACACACACCCTAGCACTGCCAGTCTCCTCACAGCGCTCAAATGACTGAGGATGTGATGTAATGTCATATAATTACATGCCAAGACACTACAACAACCAGTCGTGCTCACTCAGCTGGCTAGAGATCTCACTGAGCTCTGGACAGTCTGTTATCTGTTGCATACTGGATAGAAAAAAGGCAAGTGCTGACTGAAATTGCCAGCTATGCAACTTGCAGGAGTCCAGGGATGCAACAGCCGGCCTGAAAACAACAAGGTACGAGACTATTTCAACGATTGAGGAAAAACGAATCGCTGGATTTGCCAAAGTCTGTCAGGTTAGTGGCATCAAATCTTTAAAAGATACTCAAGAGGTGTTTGAGATGCTTAGTAGAACTGCACAATTAATGGCATTTTAATCAAGAATGCAATTTCTGCTTCTCTCAGTCATCAGCAATATTTGGCCGCTGGATATTTATCCATCCCGAAAACATTGTTTTTATTTGGCATTTGCATTATATTGCATTGCTAACAAGCCTCCACAAGCTTTCGTATTTTTGGCATATTTGTTGTGGCTAAATCTGCGAGCAAACCTTCTCTGGCGAACTTTAATAAAACCAATGAGAATTGTCGTGATTAACGATCGCAATTATCATTTTTGAGCAAAATAATCTGTTTCAAAAATATTGTGAAGACCTACTTACTAGTAAGCAGTGTTGGTTAAGTAATTACTAGCTACTAATTACACCTAACAGTGTATACTTTCTCTAAAAAATCACTGCATTATTTATTACTAATTACTTTCTAAATCCCATATCAACCTCACCAGTTGAACAATATAAGAACAGACATGAAACTGCTCAGTTAAGTCTCTGTTAATTCTTTAAACTGACCAAAGTATTTAAGGAAGAAGATTCCCAAATCCATATTGTTTTAATTGTTCTATAGTCTATACAGTATTTAATGCAATTGCCATCAGAAGTAACTGTAATTACATTACAGAAAAATCTAAAGTAATCACTTTTTCTAAAGTAATTCGTTATTTAGTAATGCATTACACCCAACGCTACTAGCCAGGGAATTAAAAATGCATGAGCAAAACTGCATTATTATGCCTTTTCATAAAATATTCAGTTCTTGGTGTTATAGTCTGAGAAATAATCTACTTATTGCATTTGAATGAAGATTACAAAGACTAACTTGGACAAACATTTTTCCCAACCTGGTTCATTATTGTGGTATCAACTATTTCATATAAACCAAAGATGACATGCATAGACAAAACATTGCATAACTGTTCACTTTAAATGTCAATCAGAAAGACCTTACCATATAAGCGAGCGATTTATGGCCAGAATTATGGGTGGGGGATATGGCAAAAATATTGTATATCACGATTTTTTTAAAGAAATATCATGATTCACGATTTTATCACGATTCTTTATGATGTTGGTTTTTACTATTTTGCAAGCTGTCTGAGCATTACAGCTAATTTCCATATTATGAAGACAAAGCCTTTCAAGGTAACAAAATATAAAAAAAGAATGGAGGATATTTAGGCCAAAGTGGGCAAAGATAAAAATCTTTGTCATTATTTTATCTTTGTTATTAAAAAATAAAGTACCAAGATACACATTATAAATACACATATTATACAAGTAAAACGACAGTGCTTTATTTTAAGGTACAATACGTGTATTTAGCAGGAGCATTCAAGAATTTGAATGAACAAATATAAGATTAAAACTCTATATAGATTGATTCCTATTAAAGCAACTGTATTAAAGTTTTTCAGTTAAGAGTAGTGAGTGATTTTACTCTTTGTGTTTTGTTGTTTTATTAACATTAAAGCAATATTTTACCCAAAAATAAAAATTCTGTCATCTGTCTGTCTTTTTATACCATCATTTACTCACTCAAAAGTTGTTTAAACCTGAATGAGTTTCTTTCTTCTGCTGAACATAAATGCTATTTTGAAGAAGGTGAAAAAACATCAGTTGCTGGTCCACAGTGACTTCCATAGTATTTTTTTCCTACTATCAAAGTCAATGTGGATCAGTTACTGTTTGGTTACCCACATTCTTCAAAATATCTTATTTTGTGTTCAGCACAAGAAACAAATTAATACAGGTTTGGGACAACATGTGAGTGAGTAAATAATGACAGAAATTACATTTTTTGGTGAACTATCCCTTTAAATGACAGTTGGCACTGGCAGCATGTTTCTCTCAACTGTTTACTTTCAGACAGAGTTGAAAGACTTGTTGACAGAGGTTTGCACTGAATAGATCTGACCTTTTGCTGCAATGTACTGAGACACATGCATCAGTCTCTGGTGTGAGAGAATCTATGCAATCAAGACTATTAGATGGCCTTCTCTTCCAAAATGTAAGTAAATACCCAAAACTCTCACTAGAAGAGCAATACAACCTCACAGTCAATTGAGCAGCTTAATGAAAAACATGAACAAGAGCCTCGGGTTTTTCCCTCAATCTCTACAAAGACAGACGTCAGTCAATGGAGCAGATGGGTAAATCGCATTGTACCACTTATGATTATTCAAATAACCGATAACAACAACCACAGCCAACAGAAAATCTGAGCGCCGCCACCGACCAGAGCACTAGTGCGTGATGGATCTCTGCGATAATCTTCAAGCTGTCCACCTTGCTGTTGGGCATGACCATATGTTACAGAGGTGGATGCAAGAAGTGTTGGAGTTTGCTAATGGAGCATGACTCAGTGCCCACTGCGCCTCCATGAATTTTTATCATATTCCCTTTTACAGACTGAACCCGGTATCTTGCGTAAGCAGACCCGGTTTACACTTGGTATTAGCATGCCGTAGGATGCACTTTCTGTTTAAAATGCATGCAATGACGTTCTATTGTAATCAGAGATGCTTTGCTTAATCTGATCCCGTGTGACAAAGCATGCTTTAGTTTCAATATTAGTTTCACTATCCACTGGATTACTCTATTTTCACTGAACAGACGTTTGTTATTTAACTTAGTTTAGTCATTAAGTGCATGTCCTGGACCACAATTTAACTCTACAGGTAACGATCTGGTCGCTAGTCACCATGGAATCAAAAGGAAAGCACAAATGCTTTACATTAAAAACAACTGCACAGCCGACTGATATTACATTTCCTACAATGATGAATTTATAGAGAGAAACAGACCAAAAGAAAAAGAAAACCAGGAAGCAGAGCAAAGTGTTCATGTCGTCTGTACCGAGCACAAATCTAGAGTTAAGTACCAGAGAGCAGCGCATTTGTAGGAAAATGTTTGCACTTCGAAGTTATCATCATAAAGCAAAATTACTATGCAAAACTCAACACTATGACCATTAAAATACATGCTCGCTACACAGAAAAAATTCTTGCATAAAGAAAAACAGCAGATCCAGACCAATAACAAATAAAATACTACTTGAAATACAAGTGTCACCAAAACAAACGTTAATACAAAAGATTAAACTTTAAAAACAGGCAAAAAGCATCTTACAGATGCCATGAATTCAAAATTGAAGGTTGCTGCATTTATCAAAAATCAATGTAGAGTAAATTTACGCATTTGCCTCCCAACCTCCATGAAGACCAAGAATACTAATGCACTTACAAATACAAAAATACAAATTGTCCAGTTAAATGAAAACGTATTTCCACAATACAAACTGCAATCAAATGGCAATAGCAAGTAGCACACCATGGCTTTGTCTTGCTGTGACGTAAACCAACGTCTAGACTAGAGACATTTCAAGTATTAAATCATCTGCCATGCTCCATATCATCTCTATAAAGTGGCTCTAAAGTTCAAGACCATTACCTTCATCTCCGTCCACGGTGACGGTGATCCTCTCGAGTGAACTCACTTTCAGATCTTCAGCTGAAAGACATGAAAACATATTTATAATGAGAACAAGAGCAAGACGCTGAACAGATGAGTGAAAAGATTGCTTTGCTGAGATGTTCGATCAGACATTAAGTGGGACGGTCATAGAAATCTCATATGTAACCAGTTGAGTTGTAAGAAAGTAGACAGAAAAAAGCTAGAGATGCACCGATCAACCGGCCAGGGACCGGAATTAGCCGGTTTTCCGCATGATCGGCCCGGACCGGTGACCGGCGGTCAGTCTGCCGATTCCGAGCCGGTCTGTTGACGTCACACTTACGGCGACTGATAATGTATTGATGTCATGCCAGATGAGGCTTGCGCCGCCTGAGTGAGTGTGTGAGAGAGACTCGTACACAAATCAAAACAAATGAGCGCAACAGCACACACAGAAAGTTACAGATGCATACTTCGGTAGAAAAAAAAAAAGGAAATGTATAATATATGATTTAGGTACACAACATTGCACGAACAGAATGTTTCAACATGATTGCAATGTGATTTTATACAACTGTAGTTCAATAAACAAGAAGTTAAAATTAAGTGACTTGCATTTTAGACACAATACTGACTATTTTTGCTAAGCTTTGCTGATGAAAATAGCTCCAATCAAAGCCACAGCAGAACGGTTTTGTGTCATCGTTACTGAATGAATCCAAGTTTTGAACGAATCAAGTGAGTCAATGACTCAGTAACCAATTCATAAAGACAGTAGTCACTTGCCTCGTTTCTGAATGAATCAGCCGTTTGAACGAATCTGTTGAATGAAGGACTAAATGACTCACTCATTCAAACAGTCATTTGCCGCCACCTACTGGTTTGGTTTCATATTTGAAACTATCATTGCATTTTTGTTTAAAAATATTAATCTTATAAAATTCTTTATGCATTCTTAATTTTGCAGTGTAAATGCATATGGCACCTTAGCTTCATCAAACAGTCTGTGTAAATACATCTAATGCCACTTCAGATGCAGCTTCTGTGTTTGCTGCAGTGGGAAGATGGAGTTTGTTGATACTGATTTCATTTGAATGGTAACAGCTGTACAGTTTCTTATTATTCAAACTGCATTAATTGAAACAATGTAAGAATTTGACATGAAAGATGACATTTAATAAGGACAGTGAAAAAATTACAATTTAAGACACAGTGAGAAATTAAATCCTGTTTTGTTATATACAGCTACTCTTTTTCAGTTAGTTGTTATTTCTATCTCTTTTCTAGTCACAGAGCATTATTTTGAGAGTTGTTTAAGTGAGAGAACATCTGTAACTTTGTCCAGATTGGAGGAATTGTAAAGTTTAATATATTTTTATTTAAATAATTTTTTTGCATTAAAAAAAGTATACATTTTTGTTTGTATATGTTGTCAATTATAGTTTTTAGAAAGAAAATCGGAATCGGCAAAAATCGGTATCGGCAGGTCACACTTGAAAAATCAGAAATCGGAATCGGCCAAGAAAAATGCAATCGGTGCATCTCTAAAAAAAGCAATTATATTTACCCATCATGCTGGGCTTTTTGATATTAGGAAATGTGAATTACTTTAGATCTACACAGAAACACATGTGCCCAACAATGTTCCCCAAAACTGTGCCCTAAATAGAAATAGTTTAGATCTGTTACTCAAACTATTTGAAATAAAAAGCATATTGGTTGAAGAACTTGGTTGGTAATCAGTCAGTTGAAAGGGTTAGTTCATTAACTACAGCAATTGTGCTCTTGATTGACGTTATTTTGGATAAGCGTCTCAAATAAATGACTAATTAGTAATGCAACTGGTTGATTGCAGCTAAATGTTTGTATTTTTGCAATGAAAGCAAACTGTGCTTGAGAGTGTGCTGTTAACCGGGAGGCACAGACATCTGCAGCTCTAGATATACTTCATGCTGCTGGTCGAGACCATTAAAGATGTACGTGAGCTGTTTATAACACACTTTTATTCAGCCTCGAAATCTAATACATTTGTGATTAACATTTACATTTTCAGACAATAAAGACCAATGTGAAACTTACAAGTCTACCGTGCGACATCATATTTTCAAATTAGTTACAAAATTTGATCAATCATAATCATAATACTATAACAATAATAGTGATCGTAGTAATACATTTTATTTTTTATACAATTTACATTTGAGTCATTCAATGTCAAATCAACCAAATTTCAGAAACTTCCCTGGCTCAATTTTTTGATTGACATTTTTTTCTGAACAAAGACAAGCATAAATCGGGATGAAAGCCAAAACATTAAATGTCATGGATGTATAATTACGGAGTAATCCACTATTTTGTAAAGGGGGGTCAACATGACAATTTTCGAGAGAGATTTTAAGCCAAATTACAGGGGGTTTTGTGCACAGATATTGGTAGTTAATATATTAGTTAAAATATGTTGACTTCAACAATCTTTGTTGCCAATGGTGACAGTTCTAAAATGGGAAAAAGCAATTTATGTGTTTTTTCACAAAGTATGCATGCATGCATGCATGTAACTCAAAAAGTATTAAAGATATCTTAATATCCTTAGATTTTAGTTCTTAGTAGGGCTGCACGATTATGACAAAAATCATCATTGTCGATTATTCCCTTGAAATTGTAATTGCGATTAATTACGATTATCACAATTTAAATGATGTTTATACCATTGCTTGATGCATGCCGTATTGTTATATGAAAATAAACAAGCTGAAAACACTCTAACTAGAAAACCTTTAGTGCTTTTCTATAGTATTAAGCCTCAAATGTCAAATATACATCGGATTGGTTTCTTCTTTAAAGGTGCTGTATGTAAGTTTTTGACTCTACTAAAGCATAAAAATACCATATTATGTTTGCAGACATTTAAGAAACATGCTACGTTAACATACTTGTTTATCTGAAAAACAATGCTACAGTCAGTTATTCTCCTTTGAAAATTCCGGGCCGGAATGTCGGTCTCTGTTTTGGTTTGTGAAACCCGCCCACTGCCAGTTTACCCAATTATATTTCGGCACCCCGGGTTGCCAGTTGGCGGAAAACACAGCGCATTTCATTTCATTCATTGTCAAGTGCGCTCTTTCCTGTTGGTGTTGTCAATCTGGCAACCTGAGTGTGCGTCAAGTCTGAGGAGGAGGGGCCGGGTGAAAAAAAACCCCTCTCCAATATTTTGAATTTGGACTGCAATACCTAGTTCAACCACTCGGTGTGCAATCCACCATACAGCACCTTTAAATTATATTAAAGAAGAAAAAATTATGAATGGTATTATAATGTTATACTAAAAATAAAACAATGGAAAAACCCTTAAGATAACATGTAGAAAGAAAAAAACATATCTTCAGCGTGCAGAATAACATAAGTGGATTATGTTAATTGCCACTTTGAACGATTACGTAATTGTGGCATCCATAATTGTAATTGCGATTAGAAATTCGATTAATTGTGCAGCCCTAGTTCTTAGCACACTTTTCTTTGTTTTCCTATTTTTAAGGCCTTATGTGGTTCATTTCCAGAGATACAGAGATTCCAATGTGGCTCCATGAGTAAATTGTTAAATTGTACACATTTTCAGTGGTCAAAAATAGGGCTGTGCGATATGGACAAAAAAAAACCTATCACGATTTCTTTGATCAATTTTGCGATTTCGATTTTAATCATGATTTTGACACACACAGACATGCTTTACAGTCATTAATCAACCCTCTACGCACACCTTGGCAATATAATCGCCATTGGCTAGTAAATTTTTTTGTTTACTCGCCAGACTGATATACTATTTTACACGCACACACACACACGCACACACACACACGTTTACTTAGCTATCTAAATGGGGACATTACATAGACTTCGATTGTTTTTATATACAGATAGTTATACACTTTTTAACCTAAACCCACCCCTAACCCTACCCCTCACAGAAAACTTTCTGCATTTTTACTAGGGATGGGCGGTATCTTATCGTTTGCGATATACCGGTAAATTCTCCCCACGATAAGAATTAGTCTTCCTGCTATAATAACGATAAAGTCTAGTTGTTGACATATTTCTGTGTGTGACAGTGTGGAGCGACATCACGGAAAGCGGACGTGAAATTGAGGAGGAGTAGCTGATATATTTTAAAGCCCATATCGCCCATCCCTAATTTTTACAATTTCAAAAATAAAAAAAAAACTTTGTTTACTTTATTTTTATAACAGTTTTACAAATGAGGACATCCACAAATTGAGGTTTTTGCCGATTTTGTCAGGCTTTGCTCACTTTTGGCGATAACTGGATACCTTCCTGGAGCATCGTCAGTAGTATTTCTTCTGCTATGGATATGTGGAGTTTCTGTGCAAGAGCGCCCCTCTGGCTTCATGAATTAAACAGTCTTTACATTACGTGTGAACTATTTTGGGTAAAAATAGGAAAGATAATACTTTTCTTAAAAGAAACAGGATTCCCTGAATTATCGTCATTGACATCGTTATCGTAATAAATACCATAAATATCGTGATATATTTTTAAGCCCATATCGCTCATCCCTAGTGTAGAGTAGGGCTTGTTGTTTGTCATTTCTCCGATCACAAATGCCATGTAGTGCGTCGATTCAGCGTGGTATGCAAGACTCTAGCTCTCTCTCTTTGCATGTGTGAGAAACACAGCGCTTTCAGTAAAGCGACGGCGAGTCGTGCGACTTCACACTAGTTTACGGTGCGTCAAATACAGGTGCGCTGCGTGCTACATACTGCGCATGACTGTGAAACAGTAGACTTTAATTATATGCATTTATGGTGTAATTACTAAATTTCCGTGTCAATCCATGTTAATTTTTACTGCGAATAATGCGCTGTCACTTTAATTCAGCGCGTGCAGCACAGCAGAAATAGACTCCGTGTGGAAACGATCGCAGCATTACTGCTGCAGACGCACCGCTCCTGGAGCGCACTGCCGGACCGCAATCGCGTTCAGTGTGAACGCTCTGATCCGTTAACATGGGCGCGGAAAAAATACACAACACAGACGGAGTGTGTGAACCTGGCTTTACGTTTGTATGCCCGCCCGGTCTGTTCTGTTCTCGTGCTCCATTTAGGCACGCTGCATTCTGATTGGTTCGGGCAGCATACTGCGGGAGGTCGGGGCGCGGAAAATCGTGCTATAAAGCGATTTAGAAATCGCGCCCGCTCAAATCGCGATTTTATGACGATTTCGATTCATCGCACAGCCCTAGTCATAAACCAAACCAAGTGTGGGTCACAAAATTATCAAAATAATTTTTTCTAGCCAAGGACCTCTGGTTTAGTTGACATGGAGCGACCATTTATATTTTACATTTAACAGAATATGTTATCCAAAGTGACATATAATGAGGAACATCACAAGCTAATATGAAAATAACAGTTTTTTAAAAGTTTTAAAATGTTTATATTGTAATAATCTATGGAAACGTAACCAGGTAATTGCCTCTAGTTGTTAGAAAGTAGCTTTATGATTGTATGTTAGCAAAAAGGAGGAAATATATCTAGTGGTTGTTAACCCTTGTCTGGTTACAAAAAGGTTGCAGGTTCATATCCTGCAAGGGTTGATCACCATCAATCACCATTGTTGTGTTCATGATCAAGTAACAGAAAAACAGCAATACGTTTGAAATACAAATACACTATGTCTAACTTGAACAGCATTTCCATTGCTAATTTTTTTTTTCAATATCATATTCATAACCTAGCTTAATATACAGAGACAACTATTCCGAAGTTGATTTCAATGATAAATGTAAACACTGTGAACCAAACACAGCTTTAGGACAGGACTTTTCAACCAATGGCAGACATGGGGACCCTACAGACTAAAAACCAAAAGAGTCCAACCGTTCATTAAGGCTTAAAAGTCACTATTTGCTAACTTCCACCAGACTTAGTGACCGAATTAAACCAACCCCCATTCCTTCAACGACACGCCCTTTTTCCGAAACCCCGCCCTCCTCAGACATGCCAGCAATGTCAGCACAAAATGATTGACGGACGAAGCGCGTCTCTGATTGGCTAAAACGAGGACGGGCCGCTCCCCTGACTCTTTGCCGTTTACAGAGCCTGTCACAGAGACAGTTGTGATTTGTAAAGACACTATTCAGTGATAACAGCCAGGTAATAGGGGCGTTTTATTTGTGGTATGTGGAGAAAAAAATAGCTTACAGCACCTTTAAGCCACAAGTGTTTCAGCCGTTTATGTAATGATCGTTCCTCCAGCACAGAAGCGAACGCTGAGCTGTTCGAGTTGAGGAGTCAGCATTACAATGGAGTAAAACAACTAGAGTTAAAGTACAGAGAAAGTTAAGCGTAGCGTTCGATCAGGTCTGCGTAACGTCGACTGCGCTACAGCATTATGACGCCATTTCTGTGCCACACAACTGCAGTCGCTTGACGTCGACATTCTTAACATTGCGACGCTCAGCGCTGCTTTGAACGTACAAAGGAACGGAATCTGCCGCCCGCTCTTTATTATTGCGTTGACTTCACGAAGTGGGACGATAGCGACATTGCGATTTCGAATAAATCCAAATGTCACGATGAGAGAAAAGCACGGTTAAATCACAAAGAGCTTTCGGTATTTAAATGGAGGCGATAAAGCTCGGCTGCAAAATGCTCACGGCTTGCGTCAACACAATGAACGATCCGAACAAGGTCAAGCTAAACGGGGTTTGTACAACTCGCTCCAGACTTATTTGCTTTCGACATCAGAGAATGGAAAACAAATGCGTCGCTGTGAGACGTAACGACACTAATGTGACCTCAAACAATAACTGTCGCGTTCGAACATCCGTGTCGTCGAAACCGAACCTTTTATCTTCTTGTCTTCGCTGACAACTAGGGATGAAATCGGCTCGCTGGAGAACTATAGCCTCGCCAGCCATTTCTGCTCACGCTCGAAGATCCGTAGAAATCGACGTCGAGGTTAAAACATAATATACACGGCGTTTCCAGAAAACGCGCGATAACGGAACGCTTCGGACGACGGCGATTCATTCGAAGAGACAACCGTTGCGGGAGAGTTCGCCAAGCGTTCCAGATTCATACATTTTGCCCCGTCAGGTTTCAACGCTTTTAGTCGAAACATCTCTTTTCGATCGCACAAAGCCTTACGTAAGGCACTGTTTCCCCCCCATCAGCTATTTGATGGCGAACAGAAAGTGGTCGAGTCTTTTCGCGAATTCCAACACAACATCTGCTGTTACAAGTGGAGCCCAAAGTTGGCCAATCTGCTGCATCGACTAATAACAAACTAATAAAGGCTGTTTGGATGCACTATTTACGTCGTAAACCGTTTGGCCAGCGAGGAAACAAGGTTAAGAAAACCGTTGATCGACAGCGCTACTAGCGCTACAGCCTAGCTGTCAAAATAGCGAATAAACGACATTCGCGTAAATAATGCTAATTTAGAAGCTCGACGCGGCGTAGTTTTCCTTCGATCTCCGTCTCCATTAAGACTTTATCTGGTCAACACAACGTCCTACCTGATATATCCGACAGATCGCGATGTCCCTGCGGTAAATTAGTAATCCATTGGAGAATCGTGGAAAATCATCGACGATCGGCGCTGGAAACGTCGTCCGAAAATGTAAGGAAGGTGTCGGGATGCGAATCCGACAAAATCGCTCCTCAATCGCACTCGTTGTCGGTGGTAATCCTCTCCGCTTCTGAAACGGACTGAAGGATACACAAACCTCCCACTGTGGAAACCGCCCCGTCCGTTTTCTATTGGAAGGTAAACCGTCTCGGCGTTCCTTTAATCGCAAAGATACATGGGACTTGTATGTTTTGAATGGAACACTCGCGTTGGGACAATGATGACGTAAACTACATTTCCCATAGTTCAACAGCGAGTGGGAAAATATCGCCAGGCTCCGCCCACTTTCACGCGCCCGCTCTTTGCGTACAATTATATTTGATGATGAAAAGTCTAAACGTTTATTTGAATAAAAGAAACAAACAATCACCCGGTCCTTATTCGTTTTATGTATTGTAATTTAAAATTGCATTCACGAAAATGTTGTAATAATAATAACAACAACAGTGTCATCTTACACAATCTAGCACTACATCTGCACAAAATACTTAGTATTTTCTTCTAACACCGTGGTGAAAAAGGTCCCCAAATATCAAAGTCCTCCTCTTACATGGGTATTGATATATTTTACGTCTGCAGAAAATTCATGTGTTTAATGTATGTACCCTATCCCACTCATTTTACTAAATTAGCCTGTAACTTGAGTAATATATACATTTTTTTATTTTTCATTTAAAATGAATATTATATATAATCAAATATTTTATATTAATATATTTAAGTTATGTGTACACTGCAAGAGATGTGTTAAAAATGACACGTTGTGCAGAATTTTAACACGTGGTGAGTGTGCTTTTGGACAACACGTGTCAAATTTAACACAATTTGTGTGTTAAGATGGATCACACATCTACTGTGTAATGTAATTTAACACATTTAATGTGTCATTTTAAAATTATGTTATTCTTACTGTTGTTGTTACCCCCCCTCGTGATGTTCCAAGCCTTTGACTTCCATAGTTGCAAAGAACAAAAAAAATGCTATGGAAGTCAGTGGCTACCGTCAACTGTCTGATTAGCAACATTCTATAGAATATCTTTTGTGTTCAGCAGAAGAAAAGATGTGAGTCCGACAGCATTGTGATTCCCCTCAAACCAGGCCAGCCAGAGTGAAAAGAGCGGGATCCGCCGCAGTTTAAAAAGACAAGAGGCACGACGTGATTGGCCGACAAAAAAAATAGCCGTTAATATTTTAAGTTTAATATATTGAGATGTATATATTGTATATTCATTTTATTAATGATTTTTATTAATTCTAGAGCTTTTTATGTGCTACCATATGAAATATATGTATTGTTTTTATTTCCATAAACACAAACTGCCCGCCCAGGAGATAACACATTTATTGTGTCAATCTGTCCAAAGGCATTTTTTTTTAAATTACATATTGTGTGTTAAAATCCTACACAACATGTGTCAGAATGCTGTCAACACAACCATGTGTGTTGTTTTTTGACACATCTGTTTTTGCCGTGTATGCTGCAACCTGTCAGAGGGAAGAAAAAAGCAAAACCACCAAACACAAACACTAGAGGGAGGGAAAACATGAGAAACAAAAAATACAATAAAAGTTAGAAGTAAAAAAAAAATGAATTAGTTACAATGAAATATGGTTATGCATTAAAATAAAAAATGAGGGACATAAAAGGAAGAGACAATTAAAAACAGTGAAGTGTTTGTAGATGTATATAGTTATATATGAATGTGTCACGTGTTGGTTTCTGTTTAGTTCCTGTCTGCCCTTATTTGGTTCAGTTCCTGTTCTCGTTTAGTTAATCATCTCATTAGTTCCCTTTGTTTGGGTTTTGCTTATAAATCCTCAGTTCTCCCTTAGTCTGGGTCCGTTCACCGTCATGTTTAGTTTGCTCTTTGATGTCTGTGATTTATCTGTCTCCTGGTTATTCTCCTGATTTGAAGTTGGAATTAAAGATTGTGTGCTGGATTACTCCTGCGTCGTGCGCCTGTCTCCTTAGAGCACAGTAACTGTGACAGAATGTATATGTCAAGAAATTGTCTTGAACGTTAATTCATAATTGTCTCAATGAAATACAGTAAGTGAGGTTCTAGTTCAAAACAAAACCATGAGCAGCATTAATGGATTATTTTTTCCTCTGTAAATGCCACCCAATAGCTCCCTTCATAACTCTAAACAATCTTGCAATGTTTTGAGACACTTTTCTCTTTGTAGACCTAAAGATTTCTGTTGTTCACGTCAAGTCAAGTCTCTAGTATTTCCTCATTTCTGTGTGTCGCAGGGACAGACTCGGACGCGAGGCGACATCTGAGTTCTGGTACACTGATCCTGACTAACGTTCAGTACAGCGATACGGCGGTCTATCTTACATTGTTTAGAGCATAAGAAAAAAATGGTAAAATAACATTTTTTTTTAATTATATTTTATTCATAAGTTATGCTATGTACTCTGTAGAGGACACCAGGACTCCGTTTTTCTAAAAATAAAATGATGAAAAGGCAAAAACAATGGGAATTTTTTTTAAATCACCAATCAATTTTTAGGTGTCAGGATTTTTTTATAAATAACTTTGTTTAAGGATGGTTCTCAGCTATGTTATAAAATATATAACAAAATGATTTGATATACCATTTTGCTTTATGAAAATGAAATAATAAATGAAGATAAATGGGGCTTCCCACTGTATACACTCTACTGTATCTATCATATAATGTAAAAAGATGTGTAATAATGGGAGTAATAATTGGCAACATTTTCATAACACCTAATATTTCATCAAAATATTGAAACAATTATAATTACAAAATATTATCATATTTCCATAAGGATGTACAACTGTATCACTAAATTAATGTCAGCCATTTTTAAAAACCAAGGAGAAGGAGTGGTCACGGTGAAACATCCAATCATTTGGTATCTGTGGAAAGCCCTGAATGTGCTCTGTAATGGACATCCAGACCTACCGCAAAAAAAATCGCAGACGATTTTATTGCGCGATTCTGAAACTGAAGAAATCGTTCGCGATAATGACAGCTGTTTGCATAGCTTCTCAGTGAACTAAGGCTCTGTGAAGTAAATGCTGCTCCATCTGAAAGCATGTGAAAATACCACATTTAATAACATATTTTTACTCCAAACTCACTTCATAACGTCATTCGAGTGTTTGAAATAAATCCTTCTGTGAGATGATGTGGCTTCTTACACAGAATAAGGCACGCAACATATTTCATAGTATTTAAGCAGTGATAAAGGCATTTCATTATAAATATACTTTATTTTAATGAAAATTATAATAATAAGAACTCAGATAAACCGTATATTGCCGTAGTCGTGTGTTTATTAGTCACGTTAAATCAATGAAAGCAGTTGAATCTTCTGTTTATTCAGCTGCAGCGATAGGCATTTTCTGGGTTTCTTCTGCGAGGTGTATTTGGAGTTTCAGCGCGAGAGCGCCCTCTTGCCTTTGGATGGAGATTTACTGCTGATCACAGAACCGTGCTTCACTGAAAGATACGCATGACAATCACAGCTTCTGTCGAATCGCGATCTCGATTCCATTTCGATTTATCGTGCAGCCCTACTAACAACACCCTAGAAACCTCTCAAACATCCTCAGCAGCATCCCAAAACACCCTAACAACACCCTAGAAACCTCAAACCCCTTTAGCAACAACCCAGAACACCCTAGCAACACTCTAGAATTCTCAAACCCCCTTAGCAACATCCCATAATACCTTAGCAACACTCTAGAAACTGTCGAGATTAGGGAGTAAGACAACATTTATTTTCTCTGTATAGAAACATGGATATTCTGGTATTATATAGTTAGTTGCATTTTATGATTTGGCATTATTTCTTCCCTGCCCTCTGTGACCCCATCAAAACAGATGTTTGACCCATTTAAAACTGGATGCTTTTTTCTGTCAAAGAATAAAAAAAAAAATCTCTTACAATTCGGACATTTTCCCCCACACAATTCTAACTTTTAAGACTTCTGAGTATACATCTTGCAATTCTGAGTATGCGTTTCTGTTTGTTTCAGTCGGCTGCATTAACATATCAGTTTTCTTTCTCACGTCACTAGCTTTAAATATGCAACTTCACAAATGCATAAAAGTGACCAAGTGGACATAAACCACTGCAAATAGATGGTAACAATCGTGACATCAAACATTTGGGTCGATGTGCGTGTGTTTTGGTCACATTGGGTCTCATTCACTAAGCAAGCGTATGCACAAATTTGTGCACGAAACCTATGAACGTTTTCATGAACAAATCATGATTCACTGAAACATTCATACCAAAATTTATTATGAATTTAAGAAAAAATATAGGAACAGCTGAAAGCACACATACACAGAAATCGCACTCTGGCCACACTCTAATCTATTTGTGACCCTGGAGCACAAAACCAGTCTTAAGTCGCTGGGGTATATTTGTAGCAATAGCCAAAAATACATTATATGGGACAAAATTATTGATTTTTCTTTTATGCCAAAAATCCTTAGGATATTAAGTAAAGATCATGTTCCATAAAGATATGTTGTAAATTTCCTACCATAAATATATAAAAACTTAATTTTTGATTAGTAATATGCATTGTTAAGAACTTCATTTGGACAACTTTAAAGATGATTTTCTCAATATTTAGATTTTTTTGCCCCCTCAGATTCCAGATTTTCAAATAGTTATATCTCGGCCAAATATTGTCCTATCCTAACAAACCTTACATCAATGGAAAGCGTATTTATTCAACTTTCAGATGATGTATAAATCTCAATTCCGAAAAATTAACCCTTATGACTGGTTTTGTGGTCCGACGATAAAATTTATATTTCATCTTAAAATAATTTCATCATATACAGTGAAAGTAAGAAAAGCTGCGTTAGACTATGTACATGTACAGCCAGCTATTGAAAAAAGCTCTGTAAACTGGGTCTGTATAAAAGATGTTTTGTGTATAAATTGTTATTATGTAACTGATTTTGAGGACTGCACACTTGGCATTGCTCAAAAATCTGGCGAGCGTGCATCTGTAGACAGTGCGTGTCATATGGGTTTGCGTGGAGTATCTTTGACGAGAGTAATGATCGGCTGGAAGGAAAACCGTTATATGGAGATGGTCTGGGCGTGTTTC